GCAGGCATGGGTGTCGATGTCTTGTCGCCGACGGACGTCGAGCGACTGCCAGATGTTGCCCTGGACGAGTTAGCTCGCATGTATGGAGTGATTGAGGAGACCCTCACATGGCCATCACAGTTGGGATTAACCATTGGGCGCATGATCCCAAAAAAAGCCTCAGGGGACAGGGTCATAGGGCTGCTCACGATGGTTGCTAGAATTTGGAGTCTCACACGCGAACCCCTGGTCAAGACTTGGGCCAATGAGTCCGAGCCCATGTGGGACGCTGCGATTTCAGGAAATGCTGCTTTACGAGGGGCTTTTATGAGAGTCTGCGGGGAAGAGGTTTCAGGCACCCTTGGGATTCCCACGGGCCACGGGCTTCTGGGCATCCAGGGTTTCTACGACGCCATGGAATGGTTTCTACTTATACTTGCAGCAATACGTTTGGGATTTCCGTCTGTAGTCTTGGTGCTAGAGCTTGTACAATGCCTCATGCCTCGTGCTGTAGGTCAATGTGGAGCTTTCGCCGAACCCATACTCCCAACGAGAAGCATTGTGCAGGGTTTACGAGGAGGAACCAGGTTTGCGAGGTGCCTTACATATTTTATCTTATCAAAGATTACTACCGCGCATCCAGGTATGGGTTCGAGGATCTGGATAGATGATCTATCTCAGCGGGCCCATGCATCACGAGCACAGCTGCGCCAAAGATTACTATCAGGTCTTTTGGACACCTGTCGAGCCCTCCAGCGCGAGTCTTTGACCGTTTCACCAAAGAGCAGCATCCTGTGCTCTAACATTTCCGATGCGAAGTATATCTCCATGAAACTCCGAGTTGCAGGTTTTGTTGTTCATCCCCAATCTGAGGCTGGATATCTCGGGGTGGATTTGGGAGGAGGTATCCGACATGCTCGCCAACAACGGTCGAAAAGAGTGGTGAAAGGCAAACATATGCATCGGAAAGTAGTCGGCTTTGCACGTGCAGCTCGGCGGTACGTCGTTACCAGCAAGCTGACAAGAGTCGGCACCCTGTCTGCCCAGCTCTACGGGCACCAGTTGCACGGAGTCTTTGGCAGCGCCATGCTGGGGGCTCGACGGCAGCTCGGAGCGGCTTGCGGCACTGGCAAGAAGGGCCGATGTTTGACAACGCTGTTGGATATCAGATGCCCTGGAGGGGACCCAGCACGTATTTTGCCGCGAGCCTGCCTCGACCTCTGGCTTCGCCAGTGGCTGTCGCTGCCGACAATCAGGCCAGGCATATCTCGGGCTTGGCCCAAGTTATTGGAACGTTTGCGAAGTACCCTTGAGAATCAGAGATCTCGGTGTGTTCGGGGTCCCACTGGTGCCGTTATTTTGTATTTACTCCAAGCAGGTTGGGACCCCGCGGAGCCCTCGCATGGGAACGCTCCAGGGGATTGTGATGATTTAGCTGCTTGGCGGTTCCCATCTTCAGAGTTGGCTGGAAACCTGATCGAGGATAACCCTGAAACCCTCTTGGACGATTTCGACCAGACCATCCAGAATCAGCTTTGGAGGAACGCTTCCCAGCACTATTGTGGAGAAGGTATGCAGTGGGGGATCGATAATTATTCATTACGTCGTCTGTTGAAGCAGCTGCTTTTCGCTCCACATGGGAACCGTTTAAGTGAGTTGCTAGTATCAGTGGCCACAGGCGGAGCCTGGCCACGAGTACGCCGACATGAGCAGCTGAAGGGAAACCAAGATGTTTTATGCCCCAGGTGTTCCGAGGAGCCCGAGACCCCTTTCCACAGGTTCTGGGGATGTGCTGAGAACAGGGGCTGTAAGGCATATGCAGATTCTGATTCGCTCACGCCGGCAGCGTACGCAGGTGCAGATTCTGAAGCATGCTTTTGGCTACGAGGCCTCATCCCAGCAGCGTGGACTGCAGTGCCGCAGCCTCCGTCTCAGGAGAACTGGCACATCCGAGGCAGCTCGTCGAACGATCTTGAGGGATGTCTTGGTGAAGGGTCCTTTCACGAGCCCATCATTGCGTTTGGCGATGCAAGTGGAGGGAGAAACGCTGCAGACCAACGTTTCATTCGTGTCGGGCTCGGAATTGTTGCTTTTGATTCGTTCGAACCCTGCCGCATTCGTTCGTCGGTCAGTGGGCCCTTGGTCGGGAAATCTCAGTCGGTGCCCCGAGGCGAACTCAGAGCACTTTTGTTGGCTGTGGAATGCACGCGTGGCTTCGTTTGTTATGTGACTGACAACGATGCTGTTGCCCAAGGCTTTTATTCTGGTTTGTACAAGAGGCCCTCTGGGCCCAACGCTGACCTTTGGTTGACCCTGGGGAAAAAGTTGCAAGCCCGTCCGACTCAGTTGAGTGTTCTTTTCGTCAATTCACATCTGACTGCAGATGATATCATTGCGCGCGAGGTTCCATCCTGGCTCGCCCAGGGCAATCTTGCAGCCGACGAGGTCGCCAGCGCGGCGGCCCACTGTGCCCGCGTCCCCGACGAGGCGAGGACGAGGGCCTACCAGGCCGAGGCAACGGCCGCCCTGGTGCGGCACCGCCTCGCGCGCGCCACGGCGGACGCACTGGAGGCCGAGGAGCGGGGTGGGAACGGCGCCGTGAGGAGTAAGGACCCACCTCCTCCTCCTCCCCCCGCCCCTTCCCTCGTTTCGTCCTTTTGCTCCGCCCATTCTCTCAGTGATGATCGTAAGAGTTGTTTGCGATGCTGTGGCTCAGCATCCCTTGCCACCCAGAAAGAGTGGTGGCAGTCCGTGTGTTTCCAGCCCGTCACGCTCGACAGTAAATATGCTGCAGTTCCTCGGGGGGGGCGGCTCCATATTGCTGGGGGTTGGATCGATTCGACTCATGCGATGCGATTGCAGCTTGCACACAAAGTCTGGTTCTGTCGTGGCTGTGGTCGATACGGCAGCCAACAGAATCGTGCTCTTAGCAAGCCGTGTGACTTTCAGATCCCTGCTCACCGACGAGAGTACCTCGATCGAATAGAGCAGGGGAAGTGGCCAAAGCTTCTTAGCAAAGCTGAGCAGCGAAGCCGACGTTAGTTTGTAAACTCGACTACGTCGAATAGCTCGATACTCGATACTCCTCCTCCTCCTCCTCCTCCTCCTCCTCCTCCTCCTGCTCCTCCTCCTCCTCCCCCCCTGTCTCCTCCCTCCTCCTCCTCTCCTCCTCCTCTCCTCCCTCCTCCTCCTCCTCCTCCTCCTCCCTCCTCTCCTCCTCCTCCTCCTCTCCTCCTCCCTCCTTCTCCTCCTCCTCCTCCTCCTCCTCCTCCTCCTCCTCCTCCTCCTCCCTTCTCCTCCCCCCTCCTTTCTGTGCAAGAGCCGCGCCGCATTTGCCACTTGTTCCCCATGTAGCGTGCCCGATTTCAGCGGCCCGACTGGCAGTGCTTGCGCCCCGCAGGGTGTCCAGAGATCTCCGTGGCCACGGCCCGCGCGCCGGGGCCTTGGGACATCGCCTCCCCGGGTGGTGGCTAGTTACAGTCGGGGCGCTGAAGAAGGAACACTTGTCGTTGGGGAGGGGCTCGGTGTTCCTTGATTGTTTTACAGTTTGCCCTGCGTGTTCCTTATGTTTTCCATGGGGGAGCGATGTTTTTAACTGATGGGAAAGAGCCTCGTTCCTTATTTAGGGTTCCTTAGGTCAACGCCCCGACTGTATGTGCAAACCCTGGGCTCGCAGAGATGAGCACTGGGGGGCTTTCGATCGGGGGCGGCAAAGAGGGGGGTGAGGACAAGGGGGGGTGGATATCATGGCGAGGGCCACGAGATCTCCCCAGGTTTCATGGCGCCCCTTCTTCTTTCATTACGTCCCTGGCCCCCCCCAGGCCGCGCACATGCCGCCAACCATGATTTGCACCCTCCTTGGCCGCCCCCGATTCGACTTGGGGGTCCCAACGCCGTGTGGTGACAGACCCGGCGGTGACTTCGAAATCCATAGAGACCTCACCGTAAGGTTCGTCACCACACTGTTTTGGGACCTCGGCGGCCCCAGTGGCCCGAGACATCCTCGAAGAATGGCCTGAGTCCCAAAACCGCGCGGTGACTTCGAATTCCCACCGACTCACCACACGGTGTGGTCAAAACCCCGTCTGGGGCCCCCGATCGAATGTGCCCATTCCCACCGTAACGAGAGATGTAGGTGTCTTATTTCAGGTTCGGCCCTCGTGGCGCCTGGGCTCGGTGCGCCGTTTGTTTGTCGTCCTCCTTCCTGCTCTCATTCGAGAACCCAGCAATGACAGACGCTCAAGCTTTCGGAGGTCCGCGCGGACCTCCGATCGCTTACAAGTGTTTCTCATGTATTGGTTTACATGTGTGTATATATATATGGATGTATGGATGTGTATGTATGTATGTATGTATGTATGTATGTATGTATTGATGGATGTATGTACGTGTGTATGTGTGTATGTATGTATGTATGTATGCGTACATGCATGCATACATGTATGTATGTATGTATGTATGTATGTATGTATGTATGTATGTATGCATATATTTATATATATATGTATGCATGTATGTATGTATGAATGAATGAATGAATGTATGGATGGATGGATGGATGGATGGATGGATGTGTATATGTATGGATGGATGGATGGATGGATTGATGACTGTATGCATGTTGTTTGTACGTACGTATATGTATGCATGCATGCATGCATGTACGCATTTGTATGTAAATAGGTATGTATGTCATGGAATGTAATGTAATGTAATGGAATGGGATGGAATGGGATGGCATGTAATGAGATGTACTGTAATGCGTTGGAACGCAGGGTCAAATAATGGTATGTAATGTAACGTATTGTAACGTAATACAATGCAATGTAATGTAATGTAATGTACTGAGTGTGTGAGTGTATGTATGTCTATATGTATATATATAGATATAGATCCAAACACATGTGTGAGTGCGTGAGTTTGTTGCGGAGTTGACACTGCGGCCAGGGCGCGCCCGACCTCGGACTCCCCGATTGCGGGTTGGCCTCCCTCGGGTCTCCCCTTGCCATCCCCGGCGGCAGGAGATTGACACCGCCGAGGACGAGAAGAAGCAGTTGGACATCAACATCGCAGACCTCGGGAAGGCCATCGCGACCGCCAAGGATCTTCCAAACATTGCTCTGGAGGGAAAAAACACACAGACACAATGAATCCTCGAGTCCCAGGAAAATGTGCGAAAATATGGGAAGTGGGGGGGGAAGACGAAAATCCAAAACATATGAAACAAATATTGGGAATCCTGTTTTTTGTGTGTGTATTTATTTGTGTGTCCCAGGGCCCCATCAATTGCGCGGAATCGCTCTAAATTGTGTTGTTGCAGGGCGTTCGTTGAAGCGTGGCTCTGAGATGCCCAGATTTGAATATAGTTTGAGCGCACTCTTACTGGAATCATTGGCGTCGTCAGTGTCTATTGCGGGCTGGATCTCAAATTCGCTGGACAGCCTTCCCACTTCATGATCGTGCAAATTTCTTCCGACATTCATGTATTTACTTCCCTGCAGTAGCCCCATCAGCCTGCAAGCAGCAGGTGGCTTGCCAACAGGTGCCCAACGGAATCTGGTTATGCTCCAGTGGCTCCAGAGACCCACAGAAACTCCGGGGCGCCCTGGGGCCCTCAGAGATCCACGAAGAACGTCTCCCAAGAAGCGGCCTCCTTCTGGGAAGCTTCGGGTCCCCCGATGGCCGAACGCGATCTGGTAGGAACGTCTTGCGCGCGTGTGATCGTTTTTGATTCCTTGTTCTGCCGATCGGCGCGGGCCCTTGAACCCCCCCCTCCCCCTGGAGTAGATCCTGGCTGTGTTCGAGCGCCTGTTTTCGAGCCTGCGGAGTCTCCCCCCACAGGAGACACACTGCTGCAGACAGTCGCTCTAAGCAGAGGTCCCCCCCCCCGCTTCCTCCCAGTGTCGAAACGCCGAATACCAAACAATTATGCTAACGGAGTTCCCCACATGGGCGTTTTAACAGGGCTCGGGCTTAGTCAGGAGGAAGAGGAAGAGGCGGAGGTGCGGGGGGAGGGGTCGACGAGGATGGCCGGGTAACGGGGGCGACGAAGACTGCAATTGGCGATGGCGATGTGCAGGCAAATGTTTTGGGGAACACCTCGCGTACACGACGCGGCCAAGATAGTGCAAATCGGAACGACAGCCCAAGAGCGGGGGCCTTCGCACGCGCAGTGCGGGCGGGCCACGCAGAAGGTATTTACATAGCGCACCTTCGACTGCAAGCGAGCCGCGGGCGCGGGCGTGGAGGCCGCGAGACATTGTGGCCTGAGCGGGGTGGCAGGGAGGGGTGGCAGGGGGCCCTCCTCGCTCAGGCGGGGCCTCCCTGGAGGGGTTGGAGGGGCACGAAACCTGATCAATCATATGGTTCGCGAATACCCTCCTCGCTCTGGTGGAGCCTCCCTGGAGAGGTGGGAGGGGCACGAAACCTGATAAATAATATGGTTTGCGAATACTGTCCTCGCTCTGGCGGGGCCTCCCTGGAGGGGTGGGAGGGGCACGAAACCTGATGAATAATATGGTTTGCGAATACTGTCCTCGCTCAGGCGGGGCCTCCCTGGAGCGCTGTGAGGGGCACGAAACCTGATAAATAATATGGTTTGCGAATACTGTCCTCGCTCTGGCGGGGCCTCCCTGGAGCGGTGGGAGGGGCACGAAACCTGATAAATAATATGGTTTGCGAATACTGTCCTCGCTCTGGCGGGGCCTCCCTGGAGCGGTGGGAGGGGCACGAAACCTGATAAATAACATGGTTTGCGAATACTGTCCTCGCTCTGGCGGGGCCTCCCTGGAGCGCTGGGAGGGGCACGAAACCTGATGAATAATATGGTTTGCGAATACTGTCCTCGCTCTGGCGGGGCCTCCCTGGAGGGGTGGGAGGGGCACGAAACATCATAAATAATATGGTTCGCGAATACTGTCCTCGCTCTGGCGGGGCCTCCCTGGAGCGGTGGGAGGGGCACGAAACCTGATAAATAATATGGTTTGCGAATACTGTCCTCGCTCTGGCGGGGCCTCCCTGGAGCGCTGGGAGGGGCACGAAACCTGATAAATAATATGGTTTGCGAATACTGTCCTCGCTCTGGCGGGGCCTCCCTGGAGCGGTGGGAGGGGCACGAAACCTGATAAATAATATGGTTTGCGAATACTGTCCTCGCTCTGGCGGGGCCTCCCTGGAGCGGTGGGAGGGGCACGAAACCTGATAAATAATATGGTTTGCGAATACTGTCCTCGCTCTGGCGGGGCCTCCCTGGAGCGGTAGGTAGGTATTGTATGGTATTGTATGGTGTGGTAGGTATGCGGTGATGGTGTATGTATGGTTTCCTACGTGCTTGCCTGACTCCGGTGGTCTGCTATAGTATGGTATGGTATTGTATGGTATGGTAGTATGGTATGGTAGGAATAGGAAGAGGGAGCGAGCGTGGTAGGTAGGTATTGTATGGTATTGTATGGTGTGGTAGGTATGCGGTGATGGTGTATGTATGGTTTACTGGGTGTGGTATGGTAGGTACGGTGGTCTGCTATAGTATGGTATGGTATTGTATGGTATGGTATAGTATGGTATGGTAGGAGTAGGAAGAGGGAGCGGTATTGCATGGTCTGGTATAGTATGGTATGGTAGGAATAGGAAGAGGGAGCGGGAGGTGGGAAGGTGGGAAGGTGGGAAGGTGGGAAGGAGAGGGTGCCCCGGGGAAACGAGAACCCCACTCTGGATGTGGGGAGAAAAACGCTCACCTTGCTCTTGGGCCCCCTCGGCCCACAAACAGCCGCACACCAAAGGTCATGCTTACCCTGGTTCACGCTTGCGTGTAATTCGCCGACCGTTGGAGCAGAATTCGCCCTCCATGTCACCCCAGAGAGTTGAGCACGTCGCCATTCCCATCTAGTTCGTGGTGTCCGCATCTCGGCGGCGAGCGAGGTGGGGAAGTGAGAAGGAGAAGGCCTTCTTAGACGGCGGCGGGACTTCTCAGAGGCCCTCCGTCCTTCTCAGAGGTTGTCTGTGTCTTCGGGGAAGGCCCAGAGCACATTTCCGAAGGCGGGGGGAAATTCCGAGCCTTCTGACAGGGCCGACCCCCTCTCACTGCCCCCCGCCCCCTCGCCTGCCGCCGAATCGTGGTCATCGTGCCTCAGGAGCTGCAGGATGTCACCTGCCCGCCTCCCAGACCGCGCACACTGGAGTGGCATCGCCTCCCGCCTTTGGTGGCATTGGGGAGCGCCTGCTGGGCCCGACCCCTCCGTCCAGCTCTCGCCTGGAGAAGCCGCCAGAGATCGACCTCGGCATCGCTCCGACGTGCGCCGTCAGCTCTCGGCGAGGACCATCGAGGGAGATCTTGTTGGATCATGGTGCGGCAAGGAAGACGCACGAGCTCGAACAGTGCACGGGGGATGGACGTCCGAGCGGTGGCGAGCTGACGAGCACCCCCAAGGACCACAGGCGGCCGCCGACGGGCCGCCGACTGCCGCCGAGGGGCGGAGCGGCAACAGCGGGGTCCACGGCCGCACGCGTGGCACCACTACAGCGAGCGGCCTGAGTAAGGAGCACTTACTTTTCAAGAGGGGCTCGGTCGTTCCTCAGGCTCGCATGCGTAATGTATATGGTTCCTTATGCGCCATCCATTATCTATCGTTTATCGTTCCTAGTGCGTTAGTGCTGGGGAACCAAGAGGGGCTTCGTTCCTCATGCATCGTTCCTTAGGTCAGGCCGATGACTGCAGAGTCCTGAGGGGGGGAGGAGGAGGAGGAGGAGGAGGAGGAGGAGGAGGAGGAGGGGGAGGAGGAGGAGGAGGAGGAGGAGGAGGCAGCAGGAGAGCAGGAGGAGCAGGATAGGGGAGGAGGAGGAGTCCGGGGAGGAGGAGTGAGTCTTGGGGGGAGCGGGGATCCGTCGCTGCGCGGTGCGGCGACCGCGCGGCCGTCGCGCGTTCGCGTCGGTTCTCGGCGGTGTCCGAGCCCCGGGCGTGCCCTGCGGCGGCGGCGCCCGGTCGCCGAGGGAGCTCCGAGGGGGCGCCCAGGTCGCCTTATCTAGGCCTCCCAGATGGGGTCGGAGTAGGTGGGGCGGAGGATCGCGCCGCATCGCCGATGCATCGGCGATGCGGCTCGATGTGGAGCCCGACTTGCTCCACGTCGACGTCGCCGATGCACCGCCGATGCCGACGTTGCATCGCCGGTGCATCGCCGATGCATCGCCGATGTATCGGCGATAAGCTGCGATCCTCCGACCCCATCTACTCCGACCCCATCTAGGAGGCCTCTACCTTAGGACGGCCGCCGGGGAGCCGAGCGGAGAGGGGGGAATGTTCGGCAATAGTCCAAACATAGTCGCGGGTTTTTCTTTGCGTGGAAAATAATCAAGAATAGTCAAGACAAGAATTCAAACAATAGTCCAAAAATAGTCTCGGGTTTTTCTCTGCGTGAAGAAAATAATCAAGACTAATTGTCAAAACACTAGCTCAAACAATAGACAACACATCATCGCCTCGGGGCTGTTTTTGTGCGCATGTGGGAGCACTGCTTGACCTATGCTCATATTTCGTCCAGCGTCTGCCTGTCGGGGGACACGCCCGACCTCATGCCAGTGTGGCCCGAGGACCACCGGGGCGGCCCCCGCACTCGGCGGCGAGCCCGGCGGGGGAAGGTGCGAGGGGGCGGGCCTGTACTCGGAAGGCTCGGAAGTCCCCCTGGCCTTCTGCGCGAAGTTCCCAATCCTCCTCCTCCTCCTCCTCCTCCTCCTCCTCCTCCTCCTCCTCCTCCTCCTCATCCTCCCCTTCTCCTCGTGCCCCTCCTCCCCCTGCGGAAATTGACAGATTTGGCAGAAGTGTCCCGCCGATCTTGGTGGCCGGCTGGGTGCCCCGCCCGGGGTTCCCCGGTTCCTACGGTAGGTTTGCGTCTTGTCGACCAGCGGCGACCCCAGCGCGGACGTTCAAGGTTGAACGCCGCCGGCGGCCCAGAATCGGTCGATGTTGAACGATCGGACGTTGCGGCAGCGGCCGATCGTTCAAGGTTGAACGATCCCTGCGGTGTCAAAAACCAACGCTGGGGTCGGCAAGACACGAACCTGCCGTAGCGGGAATTGATAGATTTGGCAGAAGTGTCCCGCCGATCTTGGTGGCCGGCTGGGTGCCCGCCCGGGTTCCCGGTTCCGGGTTCCCCGGTTCTTTCTTGGTCATTGGTTCCCGGCCGATCTCAGTGGGTTCTGGGTTCCCGGGTTCCCGGTCGATCTCCTTATCGATCTCTCTATATCAATCCCATTTCAAACCATCCATTGATTGGGGTTTTTCTTAGGTCTTATTTTCTAAGCCTTCCCAGAAGACACGGAAAACATCTGAGAAGGCGCGAGGGCCTCCGAGAAGCCCCGCCGCCTTCTTAGAAGGCATTCTCCTTCTCACTTCCACACCTCGCTCGGCGCCGAATGATGAAAAGTGTCAGGAAGTGTCCATAGAGACACGGAGCACATCTGAGAGGGCGCGAGGGCCTCCGAGATGCCCCGCCGCCTTCTTAGCAAGTTTTCCCCTGCTCACTTCCCCACCTCGCTCGCCGCCGAATGATGAAAAGTGTCAGGAAGTGTCCAGAAAGACACGGAACACCTCTGAGAGGGCGCGAGAGTTTTTGAGAAGCCCCGCCGCTTCCTTGGAAGGTCTTCTCCTTATTCAATCGCTTCGCTCATTCCGCCGGGGCTTCTTGGGAGCGTCTTGGGGCTCCCCGGCGGTGTATTGGGCTCCCCTGGGGCCTCTTGGGGGGCTCTTGGCCCCCCCTCGGCGGCCACGATCCTCGTGAGGGGTGGCGAAAAATAGCCTCCCCCCTGGGGATCGCCCGGGACCCAGCCGGGGATCGGCCGGGGTACTTTTCGCCCGGGGCTCCCCAGGGGCCGCCCCGCGCGCGCGAACTAGAGATATTGTTAAGTATTTACCGGAGATCTTAGCACGCCTCTGGCCCGTTGGGCCGGCGAATTCACCGTTCCCCCCCCCTCGCTCGCCGCAGACAAACGGTGCGGTGCCCACGCCGTGTGGGGTTCGGGGTGGCCGTATACGGCGTTGGGACTCGGATGTCTCTCCGGCAGCGTCTCGGGCGCCTGGGGTCCCCAGGGAGCCCCCAGGCAGCGTCTCGGGCGATTGGGGCCCCCAGGCCGTGCGATGACGGACCGGGCGGTGAGGTCTTTTGGGGGTTCGGGGCTCAAGAGACGGGGGTCAATGCAAACGGGAGGTCAGCCAGAGCGCCGGATCTTGCAGGATCTGGCCCGGGCCAGGGTCGCACTGACCCGGGCTTGGACATTGCAGGATCTTGCAGGATCCTGCAAAGCCCGACTGACCTGGGTCTGGATTGACCCGGGTCAGAAGATCCCCGAGGGGTTCGAGGTCATGGCGCGGTCTGTTGCCGCTCGGCGGCGAGCCCAGGCGGAGAGGGCGCGGGCCTTCTCAGAAGGCGGCGGGGCTTCTCGGAAGCCCTCCGGCCTTCTCTGAGCAGAGAAGGTGTCCGTGTCTCTGGCGAGCGGCTTCGGAAACTTCTCTCCGAAGGCAGCACGAAACCCGAGCCTTCTGAGAAGGCCCGCACCTTTCAGAAGCCGGGCGAAGGCTGGCAAACCCGTGGCTGCTAAAACAGAGCTCGGGGAAACTGTTTTCCTCTTCCTGGAAGCAGCCCGTGTACTGTTTAGTGCGCTCTGAGCTTGATTATGGGGCTTCGTTTCCTTCTTCCGGGAAGACCGTTCTAGCAGCTTCCAAACTTTCTGCATTCCCACTTGGGCTCGCCCAGCTTCCAAACCTGTTGCCATAGCCCTCCAAAACCTTCCAAAACCTGCTGCCATAACCTCGCCCAGCTTCCAAAACCTTCCAAAACCTCGCCCAGCTTCCAAACCTTCTGCATTCCCACCTTCCAAAACCTGTTGCCATAGCCCTCGCCCAGCTTCCAAACCTTCTGCATTCCCACCTGGGCTCGCCGCCGAGCCGCACCGCTCTGGGACCCCCCCAATGGGGCCGCCCGCGCCCCAGGCGGCGGGCCGCTGCTGCGTGCGCGGTGCTCCCCCGCAGGAGTCCGTCGCCACGCTCGCCGAGGAGATCGCCGCGCTCCTCAAGGGCATCAAGGACCTGGACGCCTCCGTCAAGGAGGCGCCGGGGGCCCCCTCCTCCTCCTCACTCCTCCTCCTCCTCATTCCTCACTCCTCCTCCTCCTCCTCCTCCTCCTCCTCCTCCTCCCTCACTCCTCACTCCTCATCCTCCTCACTCCTCACTCCTCACTCCTCACTCCTTACTTACTCCTCACTCCTCACTCCTCCTCCTCCTCCTCCTCCTCCTCCTCCTCCTCCTCCTCCTCCTCCTCCTCCTCCTCCTCTCCTCCTCCTCCTTTTCCTCCTCCTCCTCCTCCTCCTCCATCTCCTTTTCCTCCTCCCTCCTCCTCCTCCTCCCTCCTCCTCCTCCTCCTCCTCACTCCTCCCCTCCTCTCCTCACTCCTCACTCCTCACTCCTCCTCCTCCTCCTCCTCCTCCTCCTCCTCCTCCTCCTCCTCCTCCTCCTCCTCCTCCTCCTCCTCCTCCTCCTCCTCCTCCTCCTCCTCCCTCCTCCTCCTCCCCACTCCTTTCTCCTCCCGACTCCTCCCTCCTCCCCCCTCCTCATCCCCACTCCTCCCCACTCGCCCCGCTCCTCCTCCAGGAGGCGCCTCCGTCCATGGGGGCCCGTCAGAAGCCGCACGGGGGGCCCGCTGGGCCTGCTCTCCGCGCCCCGCCCTGCGCCTCCCCGGCTCGGACACCGTCCGCGCCACCGGCCAGGCCTTCAGGCGCACGCGGCCAGCAAGGAGGTTTCAGGGGCAACGATAGGTGGGAGGATGGGCCTAGGGGGGGATAGGCCTAGGGGGGGGGCAACGATAGGGGGGGCCTAGGGGGGATGGGCCTAGGGGGGGGGGGGCAGCGATAGGGGGGGGGGATAGGCCCAGGGGGGGGGCGCATCGACCCCCAATCGCCCATGGATCGCCGATAGGGGCCCGATGGCCCCAACCTGCATAGCAAGTTACGAATTCACGATCTGAGGCCTACAGTCGGCCCAGAATAGTAGGTCGACCCTGCCAAACCAAGGGTTCTCTTGTGTCCAGTGTGTTCGCGACACATGCCTTCTACATTTCTACATTTTCGTGGCAATGTGGCCCTCGTGAGGGTCTTGTGTCTTATCGCGTGTCCTCTCCAATCAAATCCGACTGGATCGCCGATCCATCGACGATGTATCGACGATTCCAGATCGATGCATCCCCCCTATGCCAGTCCCCCCCCCCCCCCATATCGTTGCCTCTCAAGAACGGCGTGGCGTGGCGTGGCGTCGAAGGTGGGACCTACAAGGCGGCCTTCGGCACGTCACGCCGCTCAGGGGAGGAAGTAGAGCCGATGCCGCTGCTCGTCCTGGAGAGCCCTCGTCACCACGGCTGGATTCTCCCCGAGATCCTGGACAGAGCGCACCACGGAAGAGGTCCAGGGAGTAGTTCCGAAGCAAATCATGGGAGCCTTGCATACCCTCGCAATTCCGTCCTTAGCGTCAACTCGCGTCGATTAGCGCCTGGGAGTCGATGGGATAGCGCCGAGTTAGCGCCGGCTTGCGTCGATGAGCGTCGACTCGCGCCGATTCGCAAAAGCCGACAAGGTGGTCTGGGAGGCTCCCCACGAGTTGCCACCAGAGAGCAGCGGCATCGGGACCGTGCTGCTCCCCTGGCCGCCGTGTGCGGATCGTGGCGGCGAGGCCTCTCGGAGGCCTCTCCTGGAGGCCTTCCTTGGAGACCTGGTCGTCGTCGTTGTCGGCGTCACCGTTGTCGTCGTCGTCGTCGTCGGCGCCGGCGTCGGCGGCGTCGGCGTCGGCGCCGGCGTCGGCGTCGGCGTCGGCGTCGGCGTCGGCGTCGGCGGCGTCGGCGTCGGCGTCGGCGTCGGCGTCGGCGTCGGCGTCGGCGTCGGTGTCGGCGCTGGCGCCGGCGGCGTCGGCGTCGGCGCCAGCGCGCGTCGGCGTCGTCGGCGCCGGCGCCGGCGTCGTCGGCGTGGCCCTTGGGCTTTCTCGGGGCCTCTTGAACACCTCGTTGTGACTCATCTGGACGCCTTCGTCATGGAGGCGCCGAGAGGGAGGGGCTTCCACCGCGGGCCCCGCCGGCCAGGTGGAGGCGCAGCAGCAGGAACGGGATGCGATTACCAGGAGCGGAACCAGGAGCGGAGGAGGAGGAGGAGGAGGAGGAGGAGGAGCACGAGGAGGAGGGAGGAGGAGGAGGAGGAGGAGGAGGAGGAGGAGGACGGAGGAGGAGGACGGAGGAGGAGGACGGAGGAGGAGGAGGAGGAGGAGGAGCACGAGGACGCGAGTCGGGCCAAGGATGCCTCAGCGATACTGCAATGCACCCCCCCCGCCTGGCAGAGGGTCCAGTCTCAATCACTTCAGCTCCAGGTCGGGCCTGTCCCTCTACAGGAGGACTGTTCAAAAATAGTGAAACAAAAGTCTGGGGATGATGTTTTGATTATGGTCCGACCGTTGTTGGCGCAGTTTTGGAGCATCTTTACCTGTTCGCCCAAAATCCGCCTGTAGGGGGACAGGCCCGACCTAATTCTAGCTGAAGGAGACGCGGCGCAAAGGGGTTATGATTCGGTGGCTAGCCCGGGGGGAAGTGAGAGGGGGCGGGCCTTCTCAGCGGGCTCGGACGTCCCCTGGCCTTCCGCGACGTTACCTGAGCCTTCCCCTGACACACAGAGAACCTCTCAGAAGGACGGAGGGCCTCTGTCAAGCAGTGGCGAAGCGTACTGGCTCGCCTATAGGCCCACGAAATGTTCTTAGAACATTTCCGGCCGATCTTGCCTTGTTAGAACACATCGGGCTTATGTTTAGGTGCATCGTTTTATTGTTAGAACACTGCTTGGTTCTAAAAGCATGTTGCAGTAGGTCTATCGGAATGCCGGGACGGTCGGTCCTTGCTAAACTCAGGAATCTTGTTGCCTATTGATAAGGCTTCTCATTCTCACTTCGCCCCCTCGCTCGCCACCGAATGATGAAGAGTGTCAGGACGTGTTCAGTGAGAGCCCCGTTTTGAAAAGAATCTCCCCTCAATCATCCATCCTGGGAAGAGCTCTCGAGCGATAGCCTTATTTTGATAAGGAGCCGCTATCCATCCGTGTACAGTTTGAATATTTTGGGCACATTTATGTTTGAGGAAGTCAGAAGCGAGAGCCGCATTTCGCACACGTGCCGGCCCCATCATTGTAATTGCTGTAAGCTTTAAGACGACTGGGCGTGGCGACAAGGCAAGAGCCGCGTGTTGAGAACGGCCAGCCCTCCGTCTTTGTAGTACTGCTCGAGCTCTTTTAGCTACAGGATGCTGAGCTGCCAGGAGGCCTGCAGCGAAACGCCGGGCTCGTCCTGCGGACTGGACTCTGGTGGTGGGACGGGGGGGGGCTGCTTATCAGAACGAGGGAGGGAGCAGGATGAGGAGGAGGAGGATAAGGAGGAGGGCCGATGTGGCGGTGGTTGTGGGCGAAGTCGTGGAGGCGGTCCGCGTGCCTGCGAGAGGAGGAGGAGGCGGAGGAGAGGAGGAGGAGGAGGAGGAGGAGGAGGAGGGGGAGGAGGAGGAGGAGGAGGAGGAGGAAGAGGAGGAGGGGGAATGGAGCGGGGAGGAGGGATCGGATCGGCCTGCCACGAGGACGAGGTGCACGACCCCGACGGTCGGGGAGGTGCAAGGCGGCGTGCAGCTCCACAGCCCGGGGCGCCCGCCACGCGGGCTCATCTTACACCAGGGCTGGACCTAGACGCTGTTTTGCCTGACTTCCTTGGCATCGCTCGGACGTGTGTGTTTTTGTTCTTCGGCGAGGACAATCGAGGAGCATCCTTGATCATGTGGCGAAAAAACCACGCACGGAACCGACAAAAAAACACAGGAATGGACGTCCGAGCGATGGCGAGCTTCGGCTGTGTTTTGTTTTTTGGTTTGGCAAGGGGGCACAGGAAAGCAGGTAGGGCAAAACGAAGAACAAACTCGGAAGCGAACAAGCAGCGTTTGGGTCCAGCCCTGTCTTACCCCCCCCCCCCGAGCCGTCTTACCCCCCGCCCCGAGCCTGAGCCTGGGGGTAAGGAAACGAGAGCAGGAAACAAGGGGATCAGGAGCCCCTCACCTCGAGAAGCGCGGGGCACCTCCCGAGTGCCACCCACGCCCCACACGAGGAGACCTGGCCGGCGGCCAGCAGCAGGCGCGGACACCTCCCGAAGGTGCAGTGCCGCCAGGCACCGTACACGCACAGATCCGCAGGGCTGGTAGGGCCCAACCGACCGCCCGCACAGCCACGCAAAGGTTAAGTCGGGCCTGTCCCTCTGCAGGGGAAAATTCAAAAATAGTTTTAAAAATAGTCCGGGGGCTATTTTTTCAGTATTTCCGAGCACTTGGGGAGCATATTCTGAGTATATTTAATTTTTGTTTGCCCAAAATCCCCCTGTAGGGAGACGGGCGCGACCTAACGCAAAGCGCAGAAGACACGGAGCAGGTGCGGGCACCTCCCGCGGGTACAGTGCCACCATACCCTGCACTTCCGGAGGAGCGGGGTGGACGGCCGAGGTGGCCTGCCATTTTCCCCTCTCTAGCAGAGCAGGCACAGGCACGCAAGACACGCGTGAGGCTCCGGAGGCCATCAGCAAAGCAAGCGGACGACGTGCGCAAGACATGCTGCATCGGGCTCCAGGTGCTGTCAGCAGAACAGACGGTGGGCGTTCACCATAGGCGCAGAGGAGGAGGAGGAGGAGGAGGAGGAGGAGGAGGGAGGGAGGGAGGGAGGGAGGGAGGGAGGGAGGGAGGGAGGGAGGGAGGGAGGGAGGAGGAGGGAGGAGGAGGAGGAGGAGGAGGAGGAGGAGGAGGAGGAGGAGGAGGAGGAGGGAGGAGGAGGATGGGGTTGGGAGAAGGATCAACCAGGCAAGAGGCAGCGGGCTGGAGGCACGGCCGGAGGGCCGCGCAGGCCACGGAGACACGGCAGGAGGAGAACGCCCTCTACAAGAAGACCATGCAGGAGGACACCGCCGCGAAGGACGCCGCCGCCGGGGCGCAACGCAAGGGGAGTCTTGAGGAGGCGAAGGCAAGGGTGAAGGCCTGGGGGTCAGCGACGGGTCCCGTTTCAGATGCGAGAGCGACGCGCTCCGTGGCCAAAAGAAGCGACACCGGCCTCGATTCTCGGGGGGTACCTTCCACGATCCGTGGCCCTGGCGCCCACGCGCCAGATCCACGGATTCCTCGTCCATGCCAGCGTGTGCCCGAGAGGAGGAGGGAGGAGATCTAGGCCTCCCAGATGGGGTCAGAGCAGATGGGGTTGGAGGATCGCGCCGGGAATCCCTTGGTGGACAGGGGATGGGGGCTACTGAGGCGGCAGGGCTCCACAGGCCCGTACTGCTGGACCTGGTCATCAAGGGAGCCACGCGCGTCCTCGGACTTCCGCCTCGGGAGCGCACGCGCGTGCGCGGGCGTCCGGCACTCGAGGAGAAAGCGCCGATTTTCGGCGTCGATATTTTGTTTCGGCCAGCGTCGACTCGCGGCGGTTGGCGCCGGTCTGCCGAAGTCAGCAAGACTCAGGAGGGAAAAAAAACACAGACACAATTAATCGTCGATCCTCCAGAAAACATGGGAAATGATTGGAAGGGGGGGGAGACAAAAATTTAGGAAATATGGGAAAATATGGGGAATCTTTTTAGCTGTGTGTATTTATTTGTGTGTCCCAGGGCTCCTTCAAGTGGGGGCCCCACGAGTGGTCAGCGAACGTGTCGGGTCGGCGCTTGGAGGCCTGGCGGTGCCCCGGCATATCGCCGCGGGCGTGTGCGTGTTTTTGTTTTGTTCTCGGCGGGGACGGTCGATCGAGGAGCAGTCCGGGCCCTGAGGCCAAAATCATCAGGAGGGAAAACAGCACAGACACAATTAATCGACGATCCCCAGGAAAATATGGGAAAATATGGGGAGTGGGGGGGAAGACAGAAACCCCGAAAATATGAGTAAATATGGTGAATCCTTTCATTTGTGTGTATTTATTTGTGTGTCCTGGGGCCCCTTGAAATCGGGCGATCGCAGACATGGATCGAGGGTGCGCGGATTGGCGGCAGGTCCCGCTTCCATGGGAACTTGCCCATCTCCACCGCCGAACGAGGCGGCCCTGGCCGAGTTTTGGGGAAAGGGCACCTCCCCCGACCCGTGGGCTTGGCGACCGCGCGCCAAATCTATGGATCGCTAATCCATGTTTGCGCGCCCCCGAGGAGACATAGGGGAACAAGCAACGACATACGCGTAACAACTCGGAGGTCCGCACGTCTTTCTCGGATCGGCGCTAGACCCCCCTCCGTGGCGGCGCCGGAGCGCGCGAGGGGCGGCGCCGGAGTCGCCGCCAGGGGGCCCCAGCGCCGATCCGAGAAAGCCGCGCGGACCTCCGATTATGTTTATCTTTCTGCCATTACGGCAGGTTCGTGCGGCGTTGGCGCGCTGGCGACCCCGGCGACGGCGTAACGCCACTGGACCCGACTGACTTCAACTTTGGAACGATCGGAGCCGCGATCGGTTCAAGGTGGAACGATCGACGCGGTGCCAAAAACCTTCGCGCGCGCCGACGCCGCGCGAACCTGCCATCACAGTCAACCCGCATGGCACAAGTATGGGCAACTTTCCCAGGGGTACCCTTGCAAGGTCCTTGCCTCCTCGGTCCATCCTTCGCCGCTTTCGCTGGCCGCGCCCCGCTCGAAAAGCTTCGAGATGGGCGTCCAAGGCCCTTGCATCCTTACAGTCGGGGCACTGAAGAAGGAACCCTTTTCGTTGGGGAGGGGCTCGGTGTTCCTTGATCGTTTCAAAGTTTGCCTCGGGTTTCCCACAGGTTTTTCCATGGGAAAACGAGGTTGAACTCATGGGAAATAGGGCTTATGTTGGTATTTTTGTATTGGACTTTTTCCCCTGTACAACTTTTGTACTGGATGTAGGTACTTTTGTACTTTAGGTACTTTTGTACTGGACGTGTGGTTGACTGTACTGTTCCCCCTGGAAAATGCACGCTCGCCACCAGCAGGTGCACGGGGAGGGGGCACCTGAGCGGCGGCGAGGTCCTGGCGGCCGCGCCCCGCGCCAAGGGCCGCGCCTGCCCGGCCCGGGCGCTCTCGGTGAGCAGCCCTCTCTCAGGAGGGAAAAAAACACAGACACAATTAATCGTCGATTCCCCAGAAACTGTTGAACATATGGGAAGTTGGGGGGAAGACAAAACCCAGAAAATATAGGAAAATATTGAGAATCTTGTTATTTGTGTGTATTTATGTGTGTGTCCCAGGGCACCTTCATTCTCTCGGTATCGTTTCACCGATCCCCATCCCCATCCCCTTCGAGACCCCCATCAAATTACCACCCCAGTTGGGGATATACAGCCCTCTAGACCCGAAGGGAACGACCTGTACAGTCAACCCGCACGGTAAGGATGGGCAACCTCCTCAAAGGGTGCCCTTGCATCCTTGCCTCCTCGGTCCATCCTTGGCCAGTTTCGCTGGCCGCGTTGTGCTTCAGAAGCTTCGACATGGCACTCCAAGGCCCTTGCATCCTGATCCCGCATCCTTACTATACGGACAGCGAGGCACTAGTGACCTGTCAACTCTCGAGTGTAGTATACGTACTTATCACGTGCTGGTGAATATTTCACGAAGTGGTCCTCTATGCTGCCTAATAAAAAATACCTTATTATACGGGGTGACTGTATCCCCATCTGGGGGGGTAAAGCGGCCAGTGGGGCCCAGGCCACGCCGCTGGGGACGGGGATCGGCTCAACGATGCTCGCCTCATCGGCTCCCGGCCACGCTGGGAGTCAGCCACGCGCAGAGGGGGGTGGGGGGAGTGGGGAGGGCTTCTTAGAAGCACCCCTGCTTCTTAGAAGGCCCGGGCCTTGTCTATAGATGTAAGGCCGGCGCCTTCTAAGAAGCAGCCTGCTTCTAAGAAGCCCTCCCCCCTCCCCCCACCCCCTTGTGCGCGCCGCCAAGGGAGGCCCATGGGTGCCCCGGGAGTCTCGAGGGGAGGCGCGGACACGCGGGGGCCATCAGGGGCAACGATTGGGGGGATAGGCAGAGGGGGGATGCATCGATCCCCAGGCGCCCATTGATCGCCGATAGGGGCCCGATAGCCCCACCCTGCCCAGGAAGGTGCGGATTCACGATCGGGAGCCTATCGCCGATCTATCGGCGATGTATCGCCGATTCCAGGTCGATGCATCGCCCCCTATGCTTATCCCCCCCTATCGTTGCCCTCAGGCCACGGCCAAGATGAAGTCGGGCATGTGCCTCTACAGGGGGAACATTTGAAAATAGTAAACAAAAATAGTCTCGGGACTTTTTAGAGCATTTTTTTGTTGATTCGTTTTAAAAAATGTTTCATTGTTCGTCCACAACCTGCCTGTAGGGGGACACGCCCGACCTAAGGCCAAGACCTGCGGCGAGCCCCGGAGGGGCAGCGTTCCCACAGAGTTGCGGGTTCAAGGTTCGCGGCTTTCTGGCGTTTTTGTGTGCTGGTGTCTCGGTGGTTCTTGCAGCCTGGGGACGGGGTTCCAACAGATGCGCCTCGCTGAGAGCGTTCCAGGGTTGCCCGAATCAACCCGAACGGCCGACCCGAGTTAACTATGGCCCGAAAACCAAACTCGGCGGCGCGCCGAGGGGGTAAGTGAGAGGGGGAGGGCCTGGTCAGAAGGCTCGGAAGTTCCCCAGACTTCCTAGAAGTTTTCTAAGCCCTCCCCGGAGGCACAGGAAATTTCTCGGAAGGCCAGAGGGTTTTTGAGAAGTCCCGCCGCCTTCTCAGAACGCCTTCTCCTTCTCACTTCCCCCCCTCGCTCGCCGCCGACAAGATGCCCGGAGATCTTGTCGATGCCGATCTTGGTCATGGTCCATGTCGGCCGTGGCCGAGTCGCGATGATGAGCAAAGAGTTGACGCTGACCAAGATCGACGGTGACCAAGATCGAAACGACGTTTCCGCGTTCAGTCTTGGTCATGGTTCCCGTTTTCTTCTCGGGCCAGACGAAAGGGGGGGATGGGAAAGAGGGGGGATTCGAAATCTGCTGCATGCAGCTGGTTTCAGCCCCACCGAGGGGACCATTCCTCGATACATGGCCGCCATGGCCGCCTCCGTCGCCGGGAGGCGCTGGGAAAATCAGCTGCGTGAGCTGATTTGCAAACACCCTCTTTGCCTTCCCCCCCTTTCGCCCGGCCCGACATTTGCCGGCCCGGAGGCACGGGAGGAAAAGCCGCCCCGACGCCCACAATTGGCCCTGACTGAACGGCCCTGGGCGTTTATCGGGGGCGGAAAAGAGTGGGCTGATGACAAGGGGGGGGGGGGGATATCATGGCGGGGCCATGACATCTCCCCAGATTTCAGGGCGCCTCTTCTTATTTCATTACGTTCCCGGCCCCCCCGCTGGGCCGCGCACATGCCGCCGGCCATGATTTGCACCCCCCCCTCTTGGACACCCCCCTCTTGGCCGCTCCCGAGTTTGCGGAGCAGCCCCGCCTTGTTCGATTCCTCCCCAAGGTGCGCTTGTTGCAAGCATTCGCTTGCAGGGTTGCTTATTATGGGGATGCTGTGTTGGCCCTCTGCAGAGGGGGCTCGTCGAGGCTCGGAGTCGCTGTCCAATCCAGGGCTGGACCTAAACGCTGTTTCGCGGGAGTGTGGCTGTGTTTTGTTTTTTGTTCATTTTGGGAGGCAGGCACCGGAAGACAGGTAGAGCAAAACGAAGCACAGAACGAAACCAAATCGAACAACAACGCTCAGGTCCAGCCCTGGTCCAATCTTCTTCGCCCTCCAATCACCCAATCCCTCCCTCGAGGGTGCCTTTTTGGCCCTCTACACAGAGATGGGGCTCGCCGTGGCTGTCCAATCCCCTTCTCCCTCCAATCCCCCAGCCCTGCCTCGAGGGAAGCAGCGCGATGAGCACGACCGGGGCGGCGCGGGATCTCGTCGCGGCCGACGTCGGTCCTGTTCCGTGCCGACCGCCGCCGGGCTTCGCAGGGACGATGCACGAATCGACGATGGCCAGGACGGGCGGTGGCCACGATCGGCACCGAGGTGTCCGCGATCAGTCCTGGTCATGGCCATCGTTTTTGCATTCCTGCATATCTTTCACCCCTCTCCCCGCCCCCTGCTACAGATCCCTGATGCCCCACGCCGCTGCGGTCCCGCTGTGGCCGCAGGACATCCTCTCGATGGCCAAGAACCGCCTCTCGAAGTTCTACGCGCCGAAAATGTATCCAGCATGCCTTGCGGCGCACACGCCATACTCGGAGAATGCTTTTGCTCGACCTCCACGCGGGGAGATGGTGCAGTGGCTCCGGACGAGTGGCGGAGATCTGTGGCCCTGCATGCGGTGGTTTTCGAGCGGGGCAGGTTACTCGGAGCCCCTTTCCGAAGCTCCCCCAGACGCCACTATACTGGACATCGCGTGGCTTTGCTTCCTAAGCATCATCCCTCCTCCAGGAGCTTCCCGAAACCTGTGAGAAAGAACCTTCGAAGATCTTCCGAAGCGTCCCACCAACCTCCGAGGTCCATTTGGCGCAGCTTCTCACCCTGGACCTGTATCTGGCGGCCCCGGGGGCCCGAAAGCGGCCCCATCGGAGGCCGAGAAAGGCAAAGGCATTCCCGAACCCAGAGCCTCGAGCCTGCTGTCACCAGCCTGAAACATATTTCTATCCCTATGATTGGGCATCGCCTCAGCTCTCGACGCCGATCTTTATGGACCACCGTAGTTTCTGAGGGCGCATCCCTAAAGCTGGTCACTGCCTTTTGGCATGCCGATCTTAGGGATAGGGGTAGGTTCGATGCTGGTCGTGCACCCCTCCTCCCACGCACTGGATCGAGCCTTCTCCCTCCTCCTCGTCCTCCTCCTCCTCCTCCTCCTCCTCCTCCTCCTCCTCCTCCTCCTCCTCCTACTCGTCTTCCTCCTCCTCCTCCTCCTCCTCCTCCTCCTCCTCCTCCTACTCGTCTTCCTCCTCCTCCTCCTCCTCCTCCTCCTCCTCCTCCTCCTCTCCCTCCCTCCCTCCCTCCCTCACTCACTCACTCACTCACTCACTCACTCACTCACTCACTCACTCACTCACTCACTCACTC